GTCTTTTCATCACTTGCTTGAGTGAGAAGGAAAAAATTCATAATTGTCGTCGATCCTTGTAACTGAGCTTTCAATTTCATAACTGGCCCTTTGTCACGGTCTGGAGGAGCATATGCGGGAGGTACCCAACGAATAGACAAGGCTTCAAATACTAGAGGTAACCTTGTGATTGGGTCCTGATTGATTGAAGAATTTCAAAATTTCGTTCAATGCATTGCAGGGCTTTTCATTCAACCTAGTAAATGTTGTGATTCCAAGTCGTAACTTCACGTAGCGTACATGAAGGATAGTTAATCATAAGCACTAAGCCACAAATGTGCTCAGCCTTTCTGCAAAAGCATAAAGCGACAATTTCAGATGGATACGTGCTTTCACAAGCTCCCTTCTCTTCAGAAACAGAAGAACTATTTTGGCGGATGGTGGTTGACGTCAACCCGAAAATAATACTTGTTCTTGGATCTTTAGCGGTATGTACACAAGATCTTCACCAGAAACGCGAGCTTAGCAATAAGTGCGAACAATTGTCTAACAAGAAGGGCCCACCATTGATCTCGTGAGGCAATCCTGTGAGGCCGTTCTTCTTCACCACTTGGATTACATTCCAGAGCGGGTCACTGCTTGCTAGCATGCTGTGGCGGCCCGTACTTCGATGATAGTGAGACCAAAGCAAGTCATTCCATAGGCCGCATAGCATTCAGTAAACCACTGCGATTCTGGAAGTAGAGCGCGTGCTACATCCCAGGCATTGTCCACAATCTGCGGCTTAGCGTTTCTCTTGAGGTTGGGCGAAAGGGTTTTGATACAAATCGATGGGTGTTTCGCCAAACCGCGGCGTTTTTCGCCTTCGAAATCGAAACGCATCTATTGCTTTTCGAACAACCGCTGCGGTTCAGGGGTTGTTCGAAAAGCAATAGATGCGTATCGGTTCGGCGAAACGAGCTCCAATCCGTATTTTTTGCTTTTCGCCGAACCGCTCAGGGTCGCAGACTGTGAACAATGCCTTACAAAGGGATTGATCAACGGCGCATGCTTTATCCTTTATCCTTTGTACATCCCTTCCTCCCTTTACGGTGAAGGTGTCACCTCTACCTCTCTGAGAATGAAGTTGTATGGTAAAAGAACTCAATTTTGTTTCCCATAAAAGAGAACAAAACATGGCCGTCCACCGAAAGAACTTTAGCAGGTGGGATTATAGTATTATTTGCCATAAGGGACAATAGAGCCAACAATATATTATCACTAAATCGCTGTTTCCCTCCCTTCAACAGTTAGCGTGAGTCAGCATTTTTCCTCTCTTTCGCAGTTAACCTAAGTCAACAAAAACAGGCTCCTAACGCAATGGGATATAATTTATCAAGTGTTGATACTGGATATTAAGAACGCCAGTGGACCAGTGATGCGACGATTCTGGCCTGAAGCAACCGAAAAATCTTATTCGAATAAAATGAAAGTAATTCTTACGAATGCGGGAAAGGTTGGTCGTCCAATTCTCAGTCTGAATGTGTTAAACGAGACACTTTTCCAATTGGAAAACTCGACATTTACGTAAGGTTTGGCAAACGTGAAAATGTTCTTTTGCATCCCTTCTAATAATCTCATTCAGTTAAGTTGCCCCACATCTTGTTCGATTTCCACATGACACTTCAACTAATGCGATTTGTTTCTGTCCGCATAAACACCTAGTTAACAGTATACTTAGCATAGGCATCACTGGTACGTGGCCATTTATTAGGTATTGCCTGGATGGCTTGGTTGAAGATTATTGCAGCTGTTAATGTGAGATTTTGGGAAGGCCTATTCCAAGGTGGTCGCGGTTAGTATTTCCCATCGATGTTGGTAAGAATGAGGAACTGACGGTAGTAATATGCACCAACCCTGTTATTTGGCGGGGGGACTTCTATTTCAAAAGGGCGATTTTGACTTGAAAGGGCGACACTGGTGGTTTAATGGGCTTATTCCGTAATGCTGCAGCCAGTTTCCGAAGTATCTCACTTATTAGGTATCAGCCCTGAGCATTTGCACGTTTGTGCTAACTTTTCAGAACAATACGTCTTGCCATTTCCAGAAAGGATAGCTTAGTCTACGGGAAAGAATCTCGAAAGTTTTTGTATGGTTGCTGGGCTTAGGGTGGAGTATAGTGTATTGCGTTTTGTTCCACCATGAATCTGGATCTCGTGGTTACTGATACCCAAAACAATAAAGTCCTGCCTGTACTACAGCCAAACGAGAACCCTTCTGCGGACAGCCAAGGGTGCCCAGATGCGTACTTGTAGCGCATGTGTGCCCTTCAGAAGTTAATGTAACTGGAGTCGAGCTTGCTCTAGATCCCACATGATGGTAGCACCTGGATGCACTCGGAGACCTACGGCGAAGTTGACCCCGTCAGCTCACATCACTGTTGACGGGACATTTGAAAGTATTGCCTCACTATCCGATTCGTAGCAGTAGCCAGGCCCCAGAACAGCGCTAACCTTTTTGAATCTCTCCCCTGCGCTTGCTTAAAATAGTAAACCTGTTTGTTAACCATAATAAGGGAAGGAGCTGCTGCGGGCTACGTGACAATTAGAACGTTTGCTGTGGGTCCTGGCGCAGAAGGTCAGAGCGCAGGGAAACAGAGGTCTGTGGGTGCATAGGCATCAACATGTAAGGCAGCTCGATCGCGGGTCTCCTGTCTCCACGAATGGTCGTGGAGGGTCTACGGACAGCTAAAACTCAATCCCTTTAATGGCGCCAACTTTCTTCTTTTCTCTGCGCTCTCTTGCCTGGATGGCGATTTATGGCCACTTTGACCTTTCACATTCCAACTTTTCACGCATACTAAGTGGCTCATCCACCCCGATATCCCTTCCCTCGAAAAAACTCATCTCCTGGCTCGCATCGTGTTTTTTGTACCTCACGATGCCTTGGCAGTAGCAGTCCCTTATTGCTCTGCGCTCTGGCCTATCGTGGCAGGACCCCCACCAAAAGTTTTAGTTGTCACGTAACCGTCGTGGAGACGGAGATGAGCTTTTTAAAGGGAAGGGACCCGCGACGAATGAGCCACTAATCATGTGGGAAAAATTCAGGGTCGCAGCGGTCATGCAACGCCGTGCGGACGAGATAATGCAGAGGAAAAGAAACTTGGCGCGCTTCAAGCAATAGAGTTCAAGTTGTCCGTAGGCCGGACGGACTCAGCGGTTGGACAAAAATCAGGCCCGTGAACACTCTCTAAAAGCGCGCTAAAAATGGTTATGGTTGCCTTCAATTCACGTTATGATTATGTTTGGTTAGATATGGTTTGGTGCTCTGGGGCCGGTCTTACCTCTCATAGCTTCCCAAGCCCTGGCGAAAAGGATTACAGCCAAGGCTTTTTTGCCAAAAATCGCAAATCCATAAGAAACTCCAGCGTCTATGCCCATGGTCAACGAAGAGGGCGGATTGAATTTTATTACAATTTCGCTCACGTGTTACACAACAGTTTCCGCAGAAATCCAGCGAGCATGGTGGTGAGGCGCTACCTTTTCCTCCATAATCATTAGAAACCCATTTCTCGATCTGGATGAACATTGCAAAAACCTTCACTCATGCAGGTGCCATCAAAACTGCCTTCAACAATTTCCTTGGTTTCGGGGCTCCAGCATTTTTTAGTGATGGAATAAAAAAGCTTGATAGCCGTTGGCAGAAATATGGTGGTTGCAGTGGCGCATATTTCGATTAATGGAAATGAATTTGAGCTGGGATATATGTACTCTATATTTGAGGAAATACCACCATTTATTTCTTCACACCGTAATGGTTGGACTCTCAGCCATTCATCTGCAAGTTCTATTTTCAGAACTCCTAGTTGAAACATATCCCGTCTCCCCAACTTATCAGAGATGTTCGGACCATTGTCGAACATTGAAAAAAAAAAGGATGTGAAATTGGGCAGAAACCG